GATTGCGGCATTGAAGCGGAAGTATCGGAAACGACTCATTCGTTCTCTTCTGTGGCACTTACGTACAAAGGGGATGGACCATGTCAAAGAGCACGGATTGCCGAAATGGAACGTGCTTGATGCCATGCACCATCTCGTCGCAGCATGGAATGACGTCAGTCAGGAACTCTTTTTTTTCCTTCAAATTCTAGTGCGCAGCTTCTCACGTTTACCTTTCTACAGGTAAGTCCTGATGCCGTAGCAAACTGCTTTCGAAAAGCTGGCTTCTGCCATGGCGAATCTACACAGGAGGAAACTGATATTGCTCCTCCAATGGAGAGCGACGACGCCTGGGAGGAAATCGCCTCTCAGTTGCAAGTGGGCTGTGAATTCACACAGTTCGTGAATATTGACGAGGACGTTCCCACGTGCGAGCCGCTTCCCAATCCTGCTATGTGTGCAGAAGCTCACGGAGTTATGGAGTTAGAAGATGCTGCCAATGAGGAGGAAATGGAAGAACAACCAGCCATACCCAAGTCACGGAATGTTATGGAAGCAGTGGAAACGATCAAGCTGCACCTTTATCATGCATGCCACGGAAATGAAAAAATGCTTAGAAAAATCTCGGACATAGAGAAATTCTTTCTGAAGCGGGCGACTTCAAGTCGGCAAACATGTATCCGAGATTACCTGCAGTCATGAGTGCCGTGTTCTGAAAGCCCAAATTTTTTCCCCCATGTTTTTATATGCTCTTAGTGACCAAGTGATTGTTGCTACTCTGGACACCCACGAAGGTTCTTGTGTTCTCTGCATGAAAGGGATAATAAAATATGTAAATGAGGCCATAAAACAGATAAAAAGTCCTTTAAATGGAGCTGTATGACCTCCTGTCCTGATATAACGAAAACTCGTTATAACGAAATAATTCCCGTGGCTTTATCGACTTCGTTATAACGGGAGTCGACTGTATTTGTTGAGGAAAAACAGGAACAGCAAGTAGGTTCCTGACCTTGACCTTGCAGCCATTTTGTGGTCACCCTTGTCCTTTAGTGGACATTGTGCTAAAAAAAAAAAAACTTGCATAACATTTTTGGTACTTTGAAGCAAAACTCATTCATAGTAATTGGTGATGTTCTATTGTCGTTATATGTTACCAGCACCTGTACTGTCACTTCAGCTGAGCTTTCTGTTGCTGGTCAGAATTGCAGTGCAACAGAGGTTGGGAATTTTACTTTCCATCTATGTATATTTGCCCAGCTTGAGATAACAGAAAGATCCAACTATACTTGGCAGTTAATTTTACAGAGAAAGGAAAAGGCTAACTTAAAATGTAAATGAGGTAGCCAGGTCATTACACTACAAAAAAAGCATGAAGCATTGAAAATGGGTGAGGTAAAAAAAAAAAAAACCATTTATGGTCATTGCTGAGCTGTTGACCTTGGTATTAGACATTTGTTTCATTCAATGGGGAAATTCCACTTCTTGCTTCTCAAGGAACCAATGTGCACAATTTGTTGATACCTGAGTCACTCAAAAGTCACTTCTACCTGATTTAGCTACACTCTCTAAGAGAAAAGCTCACAGGCAGAATGTTTGCAGGCGAGAAGCCCAGAATAAGGTGGAAGCTGAGAGGCAGGCTCATCTTCAGCAAGTGATCAGTGCCAAGCAAATGCAGACTCCTTTTCAGCATGATTCACACCAAGTGAGAGGATGAGGTTATTTTTTTTTAAATCACATCTAACTCATATTTCATCTCATAAAAATGTGATACTTGGATTTAGGAGGTGATCATATCTCCTGAAGATGGTTGGGGAGGAGAGACACCTGCTCATGCACTACGTACTGTAAGTGTCAATGAAGACCCCCTTCTCCAACAAATGGCCATAATCCAAGGCTACATTGATCAAGCACGGTAAGTGTTGGCATTTTTCACAATTGTGGACATCCACATCAGTTTGCTAAATTTTTACTCTTTTCTTTGCAGAGAAGATGCTAGAAATGATGAGCTGCGAACCTTGGAAGCTAACTATAAGGAGCTCATGATTGAGTATAAGAAACAGCAGTTGGCAAATGCCCAAAATCCCTTCTATAATTCAGAAGAGGAAGGAGATTGAAAAGGATAGGGTTAAAAGTTCAGTGAAATATCCTGTCATAACAGATGCTGTGATATGGACTTCTGCAAAGATCACATCTCAAAATGTTTCTGCATGTTTGAACCAAGTTTTTATCAGCTAAGAGAAATAAAGCTCAATACATCAAAACATGAATTCTGATTTATGGATTCTCCCCTGAGACATGGAATAAATATTTTCATTCCAACATGACATCACAGCTGATCACCTTCACACAGGGTAGAGAAACTGAAGCTCAACGTGTACTATGCTGCTGCCTGTAGCGAGATCGTGCCACTCTTTTTGTTTCTGGTTCTTGCAACATGGTCCGTTTCTTCTTCTTCAACCTTGATGGATAAAGGGACTCTGTTGGCTCCAAGTGAGATGTGCGTTCAAGGATGATGCGAGGCAGGAATAGAGCCCCAACAGTAATGCAGTTGACTTTATCAAGGGTTGTCATATCTGTTGGTGTGGAGATGTAGATGAAACCACTCTCCACATCAATCCCTCTTACAAGCCCTAAATTGGACAAACAACAAGTGTCAGTAAACTACAATTTTTATGCATATGTGCTAGTTTTTCCTGAAGCTGATTTTTTCTTCATAAACTCATGGAGGGAATGAATTTAAGATAGCAGATCTGCCTTTGAATTGGTCATTTTTGGAAAAAAAAAAAAGTTTCCATGAAAATTGGATATGATCCCACTTCAACTCAAGCAGATTCAAATTGCCATAAAAAGCTGAAAATATAACAATTATGATTAATTAGCTTAATTTGTTATCAATGTCCCTAACCTGTTGTCCCTGGCAACCACGTTGGTTGCGATTTTCTCGTTACAGCTATTTTCAGTGGACAGATGCTGCTCTGAACAGCATAACTTTTCATGTAATACACCTATATCCTTCATTTTTGGCTTAAAGCTACCTTGAATGTTCCTCCAAGAAATGATGGTAGCTTTTTGTTTACCCAATCCTTTAGCACCTTTTTAGTACCAATGAATATGTAATTAAGTCACAAAAAATTTCAAAAAATTCATTATTGAAAAAAATCACCTATTTCTTGAAAAACTGTTTCCCTCAGGGCAATTGTAAGGATTCGAACTACAACACTTGTCAATTCCACCAAATATATGTGAACCATCTGTGAGAAATACTGCTTGGAAAAAATTTCATTTTTTTGCTCTCGGGTGGCCATATTGGATCTCATTAGCATAAATTATGCAAATTATCTCAATAAACCCAATATTTGCCCAATCCTCTTTCATATAATCAGTTTGGTTTCTGAGAAGGAATAGAGATGGAAAAAGTTGCCTTAACCCTTTCAGACCTGGCATCCTTTCCAATGAACACCGCATTTACATTGTGTCTATGGCAATTTCTTATGATTCTTGTGACTTTGTGCTTCATATTATGCTACAATGGGCACAATTATGCATGGCTCAGTTCCATCTGATGCCTTCTTTCACCCATTAGTTTTGTAATCTTCTGTTATTTAATTAAATGTATAATATATGGTATGATATGGTACATTTATACAAAATATGAAAGCTTCATATAAAGCATGAAAATTTCAATTACAATCACAAAAGAGCTCAAAAATGCAAACATGGATATTATTCTGATGGCAGCCTTAATTCAGGTCTGAAAGGGTTAAAGTAGGTCTGCTACCTTAATGGAGAAAAATCCTCATAAAAGATTTCATACTGCTTATTTTTTTTAAATTACAAATATTGACATAACTGCAAAAAAATGCATATGTTGAGTTATTCACAAGTTAAATACTTTCACCCTACTTTTCCAATATTTTTCAGATTTTGCTTTCACCCTTTGGTTTCTCCTAAGTTATCAAAATAAGCATAATAAGCAAAATAAGCAAATAAGCAAGGAATGGAACCTTAAAGATATTTATGACACAATCAGCTAGAATCTGGCAAGCACTGCCTCATAAAAGATGGTACATGCTTGTTTCCATGAAAATAATAAAATATAATATGTCAAAGTGAACGAATTAAAGTGCGATTGATCAGTTTATACACATCGCATTACCATCTTCATGCCTTTCCAGAATTTCCTTGTACAAAAATCTGAACAATCCTTTTTACCCATGTAAAAGCAACTACTGAGACAGTTCCAGATTGCATAAATGCCATAGACAGATTTTACAATCCCTTACCAAAGCCAAGACACTGTATAATTTCATCAGGCTTGACAGATCGAGGTCCACCAACACCAGAACAGGGAAGGAATTGGGATTCCTCAGCTTGCCCTAAAGACACCAATCGCCCATTCACACATTCCAAAATTAGCCTCCAGGGCACTGATGCATTCAAGATCTGGATTCCAAGTCCTTCCAATTGTCGCCTAATGAGACAAGCAGCAGCAACATTCAAGAAACTAAGCAATTCTGAATGTATACAAAGTACCAGCAAATCAAAGGTTGATCACCTGAAAGGGGTGACAGCATGCAAGGGGATGGGTATATGATCCACACGTGACTGAAGACGTCCTAAGTATGCCACTGTCTGGAGCTCTCGATTCAGGACAGACTCTCCCCTGTGGTGATTCAGAATGACATGAGTGAAAATAAAGTGAAGTTGGATCAGAGACTGAAATACTCACACACGACTGTGGTCAGAAGCTTCCCGGTTTTGTGGCAGACTGACAGCAGTCAAATGAATTAGCTGATACCGTAGGGAAGGGCACTCAACCCCTAGAGCATTGCGAAGCAACCAACTCTGCCTTTCAGAGACAATATGTGGGAGAGGATTCAAAGCAGGGCCTCCTGATTGACGTGAGTTTGAAGACTTCAGATAGAGCATTACAGTAGGCTGAATGCACCGAACAATGCCCATCTGCAGTTCTGCTCCCAAGCCTGCATAAAGGTAACAAAGAATGTCCAACATATACTTGGAATCATGGGATGGAAGTCTTTCAATCTGCTTAGCTCAGTTCTTACCAACAATCCAGCCCATAGTATTCACAATGAGAGGCATAGAAGACAATTCTAGACTGGACTTCACATTCTTGATCAATTTCAAAACAATCTTCAAGTAGCTCACTGGATCATTCCCCACATTTAAATGCCCAAAGCAGTATTGGCTGTAAACAGAAAATTTTCACATTGCCTTTAGATCAAGCAGATGGAATAGCTTTATGCCTCATCTTCATAGTGAGTAAACTATAAGGCAGAAAAAGAAATTAGAAAATAAACTTACATAAGAGGATCAAGTTGATGACTCCATGGAGGACCCAGCAGAGGTTTCATGACCTTAACCAATGACAAACATGTAGAAACTGTGAATTCAGACTGTCCAGGATCAACATCCAGGTACAGAACTTCCTTGCACCGAGATGACAAGAGCCGATTCACCAGGTAACGTGCCAGAGTAGACTTTCCTGTGTTCTGGTCCCCACAAATGACAACACGAGGAGGCCATTCTGTTACTGGCAGGGAAGGAAGAGTACAGTTCCCCTCTTCCCAAAAGTCTCATCATCTTAATTACAAGGGGCAATGTTAAGTGTTATAGATGAAATAACTGAAGCAAGGGGCTGTAATTTTTCATTTAAGTCTCAGGTTAAATTTTGATATTAGGTGCACATTGCTGAAGGTCGAAATTGTACTGTCTACCTTCTTATATAGTCATGTACTAGTGTGAACCATGTAGTAGCTATCTGGAAAGAAATGCAATCATTCTTCAAGACCCTTTATCCCAAATCCATGGGGCTCAAGGTGATCCAGGAGCATTCTTCCATGTACCTGCTCCTGAGGAATGGAAAAATACTCAGCAGGTGGGATGTTGAACCTATCATCACAAACCTTTTGCAACATATTACTTCCACCTCATAAGATGCCCACCAACTGGCCTACTACCTGTCACACCATGCACTGAGAGAAGTATGGGGATGAAAATAGTAAAATAAAGTTATAGATAGTGGGTGGATTGCATAAAACTGACTTGAGTGTAATGGGACCTTAAACCTTCATTACGCTAAAGTCAGTTTTATGCAATCCAACCCAGTATGTTTTTTAAATTATTAACAGAGAATAAAGAGTGAATTATAACTGCTTGTGCTGTCAAGTGTGCATATCACTTATGTGCCTCAAATTGATAGCATAGGCCTTTGCACATGAGACATGACCTTCACAGAATAAGACCTGATGACTCTGATGACTGCCACTCTCTGAATAAATGTAATTTGAGGCCAGATTTTCATGATTTTGGGGAGAATTGAAATGAGGTGCTCCTTTGATCATGTAATCATGCAGCCACTTGGCCACAAGGCTCAAGGTTGTAGAAACAAAAGGAACCAAATACTCTCCCCCTCCTCACCCTGTTAGATGCATATGGAGATGGAATTCCTGGGATTCTCACTTTTGCTGCATCCTATCCCACTTCCCCCTCACTTCCCAACATGTTCATATACATACAGCAATGTTATAATCTGGTACAGAACAATGGTGATACATTTTTAGGCAGAAGAGACAACATTGGGTATTATTGTCATGTGCATTCTACCATGTGGCATGTCCTACCCGCACTCAACCTCCGTAGGAAGGCTGTCCTTTTATGGGCAGTCTGGAACATACTTAGAATAGACCATATGTCATGCCATTTTCATGCTGTTTTACTATTGCTAGCTTGGCTTCTTGCAGCAGCCCAAAAAATATATACAATTTTCAAGAAAACAGAACCACAACCATTGGATACAAAGAAATATATGAAAGTTACCAGTGCCTTTTTCTTAAATGACATCCCAGGACAAAAACTATGTACCACAGTTCAGAGAAACTTTGGGAGTCATTTCATCATGGGGAAAATTTTACACCAAAAAGGAAAAGGAAAATTTTTTGGATCCTGTGATCCAGGTGATGGCTATTTTGTCAGAAAATGTCTACTGATGATCTCATCATAAAAGGTATCTATGAGGACCACCTTTGAAAGAGTTGCAATCAGTAGTTGTGTACTATCTTGCAAGAAGATGGTCCATTATCCCAGATCTCCAGCAATGGCAACAAGGCTACTGTCCTTAGCAATCTAGGATCATTACCAGAACTGAAGGACATCATCTGTTGAGAAATGGAGTCCATGCACTGCAACATGTTGAAAGTTACAGTCTGCAAAATTGGACATTGACTGGGAGCAGTATTGGAGATTGGTGGGGGCTGTATTGAACATTTCTCACCATGAAAATGTGACATGCCAAGAAAATATGAGGCATTCCTTCCTTCTTTGCATAACATTCTCTCTGTGGTACTCTCATCAGCATCAAACTCCCCAACTTTTCACTGTGCAGTGGTGTAGAGTTTCTTTAGTTATTGTTCCAGAATGCCATCCAATCACCAACCAAATTTATAATTACCTTGAAATTGAGTGAAGAAATAAAGAGGAGTCAATTAGGCAGGTTAAGGAAAGGATAAAATGGTATGTGCATGGGGAGGAAGCACTGAAAATAAAATGGCTGATGATTATAGTTATCAAATAAGACCAACCTATATAAGAAACATACAGGGTGTTCATATTTAAATCCAACATAGGGAGAAATTTTCTGCCTGTTGGTGGAGTTCAGCAAGTGCCATAAAGCTCACTGGGTTAAAAGGTTAGAATAGAATAGAATATAAAATATATTTTCTACATATTTGCAGATAAGAAACAAAGATGAAGGTAAAGACAATTACAAAAATAAATATGAAAGACAATGCATAAATAAATAAATAAATAAAAGAGAGAGAAAGAGAGCCCATTCATTGAACCCAATTGGGTTTGTCCTGGATGACCGGGTTGGAATGCAAAAAAGAATATTATTTGATTGATTGAATGTATTGCCTTTTTGTTTGTTTGTTTGTGTGGTTTCTTTTATTATTTATTTTATTTTTCAGAAATCCAGTCAGTCTAACCAGCCTGAAAGGAGCTGTTTTTAAAATAATTTAATAATTTATCTTTAGAAATTTGAATTGATTTTGCAGCCCTTATATCCTCAGACAGTAAATTAAATATTCTTAGTCCTTCTTGTGTGATATTTTGTTCTGCAAACAAATTGCAAAATTTTAAGGATAAAAACAATCACTAGTATGTTGTTTCATGTTTCCTTGCAAATATGCAACCTGGTGGGCCTTGTGGCATTAGCCAAACTCCACATACAGGCAGGAAAATATTTCTTATGTTGCAAACACCCTGTATGCTTATGCCACATATCATCATGCACGACTTTTCTATAGGGATAAGTTCTTTAAGCAGATAGGCCTATTGAAATCTATTGAATTGTTTTTCTCACCATGCTTCTTCTGCACAATTTGATTCACAGCATCCTCCCACTCCGGGGGAATGTGAAGAAGTGGGAGAACTCCATTGATTGGATCATTTGGATCTAGAATGCGAAGTCCAACTTTTTCTTGGAGGTTACGAATCAGGTTCTGCAAGTTAGGTGGGATGTCCTGACGAATTGGAGGAGGGGAAAATACTCCAGGGTAGTAGTGCTTGAGGGTACAAAGCACTGGTGATTTCAATGGCCTTACTATGACGAACACTTCATCCCGTGGGTATCTCACTCGCACCCCATAAGCCAAAAGGGCATTTGTTACATCTTTTGGGCAAGGACCATCAGGGGGTAGGGTGTTCAAAGACAACACAGCACAAACAGCACTAGAGACCAAAGGCAGAAATCCATCCCTCACTGTGATTTCATAACCCATTATCTTGATTCGCCCTGAGATGACCCGTAGTTCCACACACCCCTTCAAATAGAAAGCTACTGGGTGAACAAGGGCAATAATGCATTCCCCTTGAGAGGGCTTGTTGATGTAATATTGTATATCAGCTGATGAGAAAGAGGGATGATATTCCTGAGCCAATACCTCATGTCCAACAGGGAATCTTTGACTGCATGGAATGACATCAGAAGAAGATAAATCCTCTTCATCAGAGGAAAGTTCAATTATGTAAGTGTCAGACGATGATGCTGCATGAGGATGATCTGGAGGAATTTGGGCAAGATTAACCACTTCATCATCAAGGTCAATGACTTCAATGTCAGTGCTCCTTTGCTTCGAAGTTGAGGGTTCTGGGACCTGTTGTTTCCCTTTGCTATGGTTGTTGCTCTGGATATGGCATTTCTCCTCTACTACAATAACATCATCTCCATCTCCACCTACATTCCCTTCTCCCTGCCTCCATCCTCTTAGGTTCTTTTCTTTCAAAGATTTTTTTTCATAACCACTGGCCTCCCCATTCACAGAAGATGTCACCTGTGGATCTCTTACATTTTCTGAAAATTCAGACACCAGAATGGGCTTCCGGGCACCTTCAAGCCTGTCCAGAGATGCCATGACCTGGAACCCCAATTTTCGAGCAGAATGGTCACCTGCTGGAGACAGTCGACTTAATTTTTGTTTCCTTGATGAGACAACTTCACAATGCCATGGGCTGCCTCCTGTATCAAGACAAACATTTTGGAGAAGTTGAAGTGCAGTCTTTTTGGGCAAATTCAATACCCCTCTATGATTTTTGAGCACACGCCGAGAACCGATTGAGCGTCGATGTCGATTATGTTTACTGAGAGGAGTATGATATCCAGATGACTGAACATGACGCTGTCGCTGCCTCCATGGTGATATGCAGCGATGGGGGTATCGATGAGGTTGTAAAAGAGACCCATTTGGTCTCACTTTCATCTAAAACAACAAAAAAAAACAAAATAAGAGGGATTTCAAGAACCAAAGTTCAAGATGCAGAAATTCCTCCACAATTCAAAAATACTCGGGTTGACACAGATTACATGATCCTTCAAAAAGTGATGAATTACAGAATGACATTCACTTACCTACTCATTTCTAACCCATCTACAATGGGTGAGGTTTCTGAATCCCTCATAAATAAATTCTGCTAGATGGTCTACATTCAGGAAAATAACATGATCATTGACATAGGATATGCTTAAAGGGTTTGATGTCATCCCTTCTACTTGCCAGACATTCCTCTTGCTTTTGACCTCTCTAAAGCAATTGACAGGGTATGGCACAGAGGCCTCTTACATAAACTTAAGGGTTAAGGTCTACTTTACCACTTCATCCATAGTTTTTCATTCTACAGGATGTCCCACATATCTCTGACACATTTGTTTTGTTAATTAATCAAGAATGGATAATGTATTCAACCTGAAATTTTGGGAAAATTTAATAGAAACTTTGGAAATTATGTTCCAACCCCTAGAATTCACACAGCATTGTTTTTTGTTCAGTAACTAAAAATTTTCTAAATGCCCTCCATTCTGATTGATGCAATCTCTGCATCAAACCAAAGCAATATTCATTACTGCCTGGAATGTGTTTCTCTCGATGATACTCTCAACTTTCCTAATTCTGTTCTTTAGGTCATCAGCAATCCTTGGTTTTGAGTCATACATATTTCCTTTTAGGAAGCACTAGAGAAAAATATATTAGGGGCTGGGTAGTGTGCTGATCATGGGACCATGTGGTAGCACCAAATCATGAAATGATTCATTTGCCAGAATTCCTTCTTCCCCAAACTTTGCAGTCCCTGTGCTTCCTAAAAAAAAAATATGTACCACACAAATCCCAGGCACGCTGGCGACCTTAAGAATAGAATTAGGAAAATTATCACCACCATTGCCAGAGACACATTGCAGACAGTAATGAACAATGCTTTAGTTTAAATGCAAAGAGTACATCAATCAGAATGGAGGGCATTTGGAAAAATGTTATTTACCAAACAAAATGCAATGCTGTGCGAATCCTGGGGGGTTGGAACACAATTTCCAAAGCTTCTATTAAATTTTCCCAAAATTTCAGGTTGAATACATTATCCATTCTTGATTAATTAACAAAACAAATGTGTCAGAGATATGTGGGACACCCTGTATAACAATCAAGATGGTTGCACTTCAGCACCTTCAGTGATCTATCCTGGTATTCTCCAAAGCAGCATCCTTGGCTCAATCCATTAGGCCAGGGGTGTCAAACATACGGCCCGCGGGCCGGATCCGGCCCGCCGTCTGTTTTTGAAATTTTCCCCTTGGATTGAGTGTCAGCACAAATTTCAATGAAATATTATGGGTGCAGCCCGCAGGCATCTGCAGGGTAAGGAATGCGGCCCGCCGACCGGTTTGAGTTTGACACCCCTGCATTAGGCTACTGATCTGATACAGTCCTACCTTGGAAAACAAATACCAACCCAGTGAGGATGACACCAGGCCATGGTCTTTTCATCTGAAGTAGCTCAATTTTCAGGAAAGTGTTATGATATCCAAGCAAAAAATGGTTGACAATAACTTCCTGAAGAGTGAGCAAAATTCCAAATGTTAAATCAGTAGCCTCAATGTTTCTAAAGTTATAAGGCAAAATTTGCCTCACAGGGAAAGAAGTTACACTGAAAAAAAAATTAACTCTTGGACCAATACAGCCATATAGGCTAGGAAAACCCTTGCGAACCTGCAAACGAGGTTCATGGGAATGGAGACACACAGGCAGGTGGCTTGCTTAGTCTGCTTGCATATTCTTCTAGGGAAGTTCCAATTTGTTGCCTTAGGTTTACAGGAAAAAATTATGCTTTTCCTACACTGCAGCCATGATTATATCTCTGGAGCTGAGATCACCAGGTTTCTTTACTTGCATTTAACCTGAGTTCAATTTCAAAAGTCAATGAGTTGTAAAGTTTATTATTTAATTTTGAAACTTGAATAAAATTTTACTATTTCAATCTCTCTAGTCCTTGCAAAGGAAACATGGCAACCATACCAAATTTTAGGATAAGGGACATAAGGGGTTCAGGAGAAAGTCGACTGGGAAAAAAATCAAGAGAATTGGCAAAGCAGATAAAGGCTACCTGAGATGAAAAAATGAAAACACTAGAAGAAACTCAAGCTTAACTTAAATATCATAATTAGGTAATAAAAAAACAAACAATTCTATATACTTTGCAAATATTATTGGCACTATTGACATCTCCACTTAAAATTTTTTAATTGAAACTTTTTTTTGGACTGATTTATGCACTGAATACTCACAAAATCAACTATAGTTATAGCTAGCTAAATTGATCTGTATATATTTGATGTCCATAAAAACTCGGTAAATAAAATGTCCAAAAAGAGTTTTCAACTTTGATTGGGACACTTATTTTAGCTCATATTTCCTGTTTTAAAAAAATATTAAATTAAATAAAAATATTAAATTAAATAAAAATATTAAAGATTTTATCCTTAATCCTTTTGGTATTATAACCATACTGGTACAATAGGGTGTGTGCAGTCCTTTTCAACTCTTGACTTACTTAAATGTAACTTGTCATTAAACATAACTTTTAGCTCCTCATACTTGCAGGTACTGCACATTTCAAGCACAAACTTTTTGCATAAGCACTGAGCACATGCACACCTGAAAAACCCCAGCCAGGAGACATTTGTGCATACAAAGCTCTACACCAAAAGGGTTAAAAAGATTTTCATAAATAAAAGGAAAAAGGGAAAAAATCAATAGAAACTATTTGCAGCTCTAAGTTGCACAAAACAGGTACAAAAGCATTTACTACTATTTTGTGCATGCAAAGATGGTCAATTTTTAGGATACTTTTATTCACCTTTGCTATTTTTGGGGGTCATTCTTTCAGATGGATTTTATTTAATAATAATTTTTGGGATCAAATTATTATTAAATTATTTCAAAACAACAGTTAAAAAAAAAAAATGCTTTTCCACTACCTTTGACATTGTTTTGTCCATGTGAACACAGCTATGCAGAGTACTCTGTAGTGTCATTTTCTAATGTTTTTCAAGTTAACAGTTCACAAATACTTAAGGGGTTAAAGCATGTTATCTGGTCGTGCCACCTTCTTTGGCAACCTAACCAAACATCACACATAAAAATCATAGTGATTCATCAACAGATAATTGCAAAACAGTTATCAACAAACATGGGGAATATGGAAACAAAATTCCCTAAGTACTTGACATTCCAGAGAGACATACTGGTGGGTGCCCAAGAACCTGATCTTGTTACCGACTTGGGAATGCAAAACTTCTGCATAAAGCAAAATAACCAGAGGGTGATGCCTTTAACTTATTGAACTGGGCCCCAAGCCATAATCAATAATTCATATCCTTCACAAAGCATACAGGTGGGCAATGCTTTAGAAGGAATTACTAAGTGTCTTATTGTGTCCTTCAGTGGCTTCAAGGTTGGCTCAAATATTTTAATGCTAGCTGGACAATAAAGCAATGAGGCAAGTGCCATAGGCAACGATTCATAGGGGCTCAGGGGGCTCGAGCCCCCCCCCAAAATTTCTCAACAAATTGCTGCCTGTAGCAAGTGCATAGATATAGTGGCAATAGCTGCTTGAACTGCTGTGTTTCATGAGCAGCCACTACTAGGAAGAAGTCATGTGGAAAGTACCATTTTCAATCAAGATTATTGAGATGGTAAGCAAATGTCACGGGTTCTCAGCACCACATTGGTGAGTGACAAGATACTCTTGGGTTCCACACCTTCAACATTTATTTCCATTCTCCAAGCGTCAAAGCAAATGCTTCGCCTCCCTATTTTGCTGTAGGAATAGCGACACTCGTGGAACGGTGATGAAATAAGAAACATGCCCCTTCTATGATTCCACAATGTGCAAGAAAAAAAAGCGATTGGAACCTGCGCCATTTGGCTGCCACTCGACTTTTGGTAATCCCTTTCCGTCAGACGGGTGAGGGAAAATCTTGAAAACCCTGATCTATACCGTCGGCCAACGTATAGGCCCGTAACATGCGTATATTAGCCCAGGCTGAGAACCGAGGGTAAGTGTACAGTACATAGCTTGGCCTGAGTCAAACGCCATCATCAGCTAATCAGGAAGACATTCCCCAAGGAGCACACACCTCCTGCGGAAAAACTGCGTGGACTACATCGTCAAATCACCCTTATAAAGACACATGAGTGACACCCCCATTCCGAATCACCCGCACGTGTCGTAAGATAGACACGTTTTACAAGTTCCATCATGCATTGCTCAGTGGCTAGTTCTCAGTGTTGGTGGGCCTGCTCGGTGAATCGGTCGCATTATTTAGTTCAGCGATCCACTAGAACTAGCGTAGCAATTGTAAAAAGACCACACTAGTGAAACTACTAGTTTAACTAATAATTAGTACAATTTAAAAAAAAATGGTTTACTCGTCGACTTTGCAACCCATGCATAAATGGATTTTCAAAAACAATGTGAAATATTTCAGCAAACTGTAGCACTCGTGCATCACTTAAAATGTCTTACCTGAGTGTTCGGCGTACAATGTGCTACTACAGGATGCGGCACAATGAACATAACTCGCTAAAATAGGCGCCACCTGTCGGCGTATAGGACTAACCAAATTTTTCCTTAGTCATCATTGAGTTCCAACGCAGCAAACAAGGCTACGTTGGACCAACGTTGTAAGAACGTTCCAAACGTTTATTCAATGTTGATTCAACGTTAGGTGTTTGAAATTGTTTGCTGAGAACCTTGTGGCTTGGTTTAAAGTGGTTTTCATTGTGTCTTTTCTTAATCTCAATTTTTAAGACATTTTCGTTCAAATTAAGCCAATTCTCTGAAAATTTCTTGATTTTTCTAACGGTACTCAGGTAAGAGGTTGAAAACTTTAGTAATATTGGTCTCGTTTTGTTGTTGAGAGACCACCCTACCCAGGAAACATAGTAGC